CACCTTAACAAGCAGTTAGATTGCTTGCAAATATATATTTGTTATTAACATCCATCTCTCTTTCTTAAAAAAACCCATTTAAAGGTCCGCTTCTTAATGTTTTCAAGTGAACAGTTTGGTGAATTGACTCATGTATACATCATGGTACTTTGAGTGTATTTCAATAATGTAAAAGGTGTTGCTACCAATAAAATACACAGAATTATAATGATCTATTTTCAGCTCATTGTGTTTTTTATGACCTGCAACTTTACTATTTTGGTTAAGTGTCCTATTTCTAAACAAATATAATTAACCCACTGTGCCTTCCTGCCCTTGAAACAGTTGAAAGACAAAGTAAGCAACAAGCTGGTCAACATAATGGAGCATTTAGCTAATAGCATCCAGCACTCGAAAAGAAAAGCTTAAGGCAAAAGGAGGAGGACTCTGCTAGGTGGCCATACACATGACAGTTTAGGGTGTCTCAGATCACAATAATTCTTCTAATTTTACCATAGTGTTACTTTGCGCTTTAAACACAAAAAACTAAAATGCTGTCTGCGAATGAGTTGGGGCGAATGAATTAGAACCAAAAGCCTGTGAGCGAAATTGTTGACAGTGTTCTGTGCTCTGAGGTTAAATCAAGATTCACTGTGGTTCCGTACAATAAGACAGGAAGGAAGCTACATACAGCATTTCACCTCAGCCTCCCAATACAAGAGAAAACAAAATTATCTCCAATGTGCATCCTGGATTCCTTGGTAATGACGCTTCAGGACTTACTGCTAAGAATCGAAATGTTTGTATTGAAATGAAAACGTGAATGAAACTGATGTAGTTATGAAATCGCACGACAGAGTCTGTATTGTCTATATAGCATTTGTGCTAAAAAAGTATGTCAAGGCTGTGATCAATGATTTTCTCATCAATTGAATTTAAGGGCCAAATAAAATACATCCCTAAAGGATGAAGCCATTACTTTAGTCGTCTCCTGATGTTTCCTTGAGCACTTAATTCTAATCAAATCTTAAAATGTAGCCTTCAATACATTTTTCATGGCTCAATAAACTAAGATAATCTGGTGGTGTCTTGAAGTTAATCCTTGATTTGCTGTGACCGTCAAAAACTTTTGTGAAACCCACTGCTCAAACTATCTTAACCCTCAACCAGGGTCAGATCAGTGCCTGAAATCAAACATGTGCAATACATCCTGATAAACTACATGAACTCTGCTTAAAGGTCCATATAGCACGCACTAGGGAATTATTTGCATCAGTTTACTACATTTACCATTGAAACAGGGCGACAGTAGCTCAGTCCGTGGGGTTAGGGTATAAGAACATAATTACGGAGCTTGGACTGTTAGTTTAGAAAGTACCCTTCAATCTGTGGTTTTGTTGCACCTGTATCCAGGGGCGCCGCCAGGGATTTTGGGCCCCATGAAAAGATTTTCTTAATGTTTTAAAACTGTTTGGGCCCCTGTCAGTCACGGGCCCTTAGAACGGTCCTAACTTTTCACGCCCTTACGGCGCCCCTGCCTTTATCAGCAAACATCTGCCCTGGTTGAGTGCCACTAAGCACTGGCAGGTGACAGCTGAAAATGAAAGGATTAATTTTAAATGCATATCCAGTAGATATATCTTAGACTATTGACGCCTGATTGAAACCTAAAGGTCATAATCAGTTTTATATGCTTCAGACTTTCACATCATATCATGTAAAATAATGATAAAAATACTAATTTAGCATGGCCAAGATCAAATGGAGAAATATGTATCTTTAAAATGACATGACTAATAGGATATTTGAAGACCTTGATACAATGGTTTTGTGCAGGTTTTTCAAGCTAAACGTTGACTTAAAACAATGTATCACTTGTATCACTGGCTTTGCTCAACAGTAGTGACTGTTATTACAGTATAGTCATTACATTTCCTTTATTGGGCAACTGGTGACTTCTAGATTTGAGCATGCATATTCTGCACAAAATCCAGATAATAAAGAGCACTGCATAAAAATGTGCGACCAAAACTAAAGTGTGTTTCTCTACACACAGAGTAATTGTGCTTTATGTTTAAACCATAAAAACATGTTGAACTATAATTATGTTTAGGATTTAGTTGGCAAAATGTTATTTTGCCAATCAGTACATTTGTTATATAGTTAGATGAATAATAATCTCATAACTGTTAAAAGCCACATCAGGAATATTGTTAGCTTAGCAAAGCATAAACACTGAAAGCAGGGGGAAACAGCCAGTTTAGCTCTGCTCAAAGGCAACCAAATTCACCAGCACCTCTAAGTTGACTAATTAATACATTATATCTCTTTTGTGATTACAAAACCTAAGTATATAAGTTAGTCAGACTATGTTAGCTTCAGACATGAGCCATGCTGTTTTATCAGCTTCTCTTTATGCTAAGCTAAGCTAGCAGTCTCCTGGCTGTTGCAGATCAAGTTCAATAGCTTAGTTTGGATTTTTTGTTTTTGTTTTGAATGATTGAAAAAAAAAAAGAAGGAAGAAAATGTTTTGTCCATGACCAAAATCATGATAAAAGGTTAGTTGAGGACAGGCTCATGATAGCACAAACTGAAAGTGCTAAGTCATGTGGTTCAGTCTACTCACCACTTTGTTGTTGAAACATGCTTTAGTCAGAGTAACAAAGACATGCTCACTGTCAGGCTGTCACCCTATGATCTCTACCAGAGCAGCGATACAGCCTTACACACTCATGTCTATCAGGTGATTGAAGCCCAGTGCATGAGGAAGAAATCTGGGGATTTTATACACTATTGTAGATTTGAACAAAGTTGGGGAGCAAAATCTTTAGAAAGTCTGAATATATACCATGACCATGCAAAAAAACATGTGTTTCTGATTTGCTGGCAGGAGTAAATTAACCCTTCTTCTAAACCATAACTCTGGTAATATTGAAGTACAGTTAACTGCAGTAACACTGATGCGACGTGTGTCACTTCTTCTTCTATTTACCCCTGTTCCCATTCTTTGTGCTAAATGGCTGCAGGCACTAGTTTCATATTTACCAAGCAGACATATTTCTGAGAATAGTATAGATATTTTAACATAATTCTTGGCCAGATAACAAAAGTGTACCTATAACTGTCCATGTAATAAGTGTGATAACTCTTTTGTGTACCAATACAAAAATATAATGTTGTATACAATACTTGTTCTCCTCTTCCTTTCTGATCATATATCAGGGCACCTGGTCATACTTTACCACATATGCATAATGCTTGTATATGAAGATGATGTGAATAATAGCCTATAAAATACAAAATAAGTGGAACAAGACAGACTCTGTTTATTAAGAAATTATTTAGTAGAAAAATCCCAAAACAGCAAATCTTACAAAGTGGTCATCAAAATATTCTGGAGGGCATACACGCTAGGATACACTAGGCTTGATCAGCCCTGTGTCTATTCACAATGTCCTCTAAGGCAAATGTTGAACCACAGTATGAACTTCAGCTGAATTAATGAAACATCAATACAAAACACAATTGAAATCTGTATATATAAAACTTTTAGTAGAAATTATCTGAGAACTCTGGAAAACACATGTGATCACTGTTATGACATAGTCATTACAAAGGAAAGACAACACTAAATGTGTTTCCAACCACTTCCTCAATGGAAATTTCAGTACCTTGCCAGTTCTTGAGCGTTTCAGCATGGTTTTTGCTTTCACTCTCAACTATGGCTAACATATATGTACAGATTGCATAAAAAAGAAAAGATTTGCTAAAAAGAAAAATCAATAAAACGATAAAAATATGTAAGCATCCTTTACAAAGCAATAAAAAGAGTAAACACATGATAATAAGCTGTACAAATTCAACCAACATCCATTTCCCCCCCGTTTTTTCTTTCAAGATTCAACACTCCAAGAAAACATTAAAAAACGATACAGTATGTTAACAGTGAATCCAGCTTCACCTGAGAAAGACAAAAAAAAGAAAGTAGTACATTCACTTCTGCGAAAATAGAATTTTGATTGGAAACCATCGGCATTGTATGGTTGTCCTTACAACCTTCAGGTCTCTGGCTTACAGAAGCCACATTTCATTTGAGGTAAGTTTGTATTGACTAGTTTGGAGAATACCTACTGAACAACAGCAGCTGTAAACCAATCAGTGAATTAGGCGGAGTGACTAAAAGGACACTGAAACAACGATGGCACACCTCACCAGTTCAGAGCTACAAGTTGAGTTGGAATCGTACCAAACTTTAACTAGGGTTTTTGAAAAAGGCATCATTGATATAAATGTCATATCAACAGCACTACTATTTATTTTCTCAAATATTCGAAGAAATAATGTTTTTTTAAAATCAGTTTAATAGTGTCTTTTCAGATTAATAATGGGAAGCAAAGACACTTTTGCCCCTTTTCCACCAAACCAGTTCCAGTTCTAGCTCCGTGCTAGTGCTCTTCTGGTTCTGAACGTTCTTCTTTTTAGCCCAAGTTGTTTTTCCACCGCCCAGAGCCCGACTGGTGCTGCGTCATGACATCATCGTTTACGGCACTGATTTTCTCCCAAACGCCACTCACAACATCAGCAATGGGGGACAAAAAATCGACTGCGTCGGGTCGATGATCGTGTTGCTTTTAATCATACAAAGCTTTTCTCCAGAGTGGCATGGTGCATTGTTTATTAATGTGTTTCAGCAGCATTTACCGACCACTGCAGTGCTGCTCGTCCACCAGAGTTTATTCTCCCGTTAACTCACGGCAGCGGCCGCTGTAAAGTCTTCACTGTCTGACTGTCACACAAGCAGCTGATACATATCCTCCATCCCCATAAGTGAATGTGTTTCAGTATAAATTGACGCTGTTTGGCATCACAACGCTGTTATGAAAGTTTCTCTGGTATAAAATGGGTGATGTTAGCATAGCAACCGAAGCTAATCTGACAATCTTGACTACTTGTTGCTATCCTATTGTAGCATAAGCCGTTTTCTACAGGCACATTTTACCGGCGTATGTTTCATTATGATCCTTCTTGTGATAGTCGGACATGGCAACCTGTGTAGCCCATGTATTGATTCACTCCGATAGCTGCTATAATAAAACAACCGGTTTTCGGTGCTTAGGTGGAAACAGGAAGACCCAGAGCTAAATCAGGCTCTAGCCCGGAACCGGCCCTGGAACTGGTTTGGTGGAAAAGGGGCATCTGACAAGCGGCACTGCTGGCGGTTAAGATGTAGGTACGAAACATTCTGGGTGGTATCTTTACCATTTCTTTTAATGGAACATTTTCCTAATTAAGTTTACCGCATAGACAATGCTTTTGCCTGGTTAGAGATTCCAAACGGCCTCCAATAATTTCTCTCTTGTGCCCACTGATGTAACATCCCAAGCACTGAGCCCTAATTGGCCCGAATAGGTGAAGCAAATTGTCTGGCTTCGCAAGACTAAACAAGACCAATGCACTGCTGGAACTGCTTTTTTTGTTTATATATTATTATCAAATAAATGTCACTCCTTTTAGTCAGCTTGCCGGGATTGTTTTAACCAGTCATCCAGAGTTGGGAAGTGGCCTTCTGAGGCCATGCTGTTGCTTGAGTATGGATTTTGCTGATTTTTAAGAGGATGAATGTTGCCACCATCGCCTTGCCTCAATGGATCCATGTCGATGCCATTGCTCATACGAGGAAGCAAGTTGGTGTAAGTATTTTCTTGGCTTTCGCTTGGGGAATGCATCAGAGAAGCATGGGTCTCTTGTGCCACTGTGATCTGTGGCTCCTGCTTCAGCTGGAAGCCAGTGTGAGATCTTCCTCCTACAAAGCCCTTCAGAAACTCTTCCCCTTCCATTCCCCCTACGAAGGGGAAAGTGGCCAGCCCCTGTGACCCCCCTCCACCTCCGGGTACTGCACCGCTAAAGGTGCTCTGGATTGGATTAAGGTTAATGAAATTGGGCCACGCAGTTTGGAGACCCTGGTTCTGGTTGCCTAGATTGTTCTGGGCTTGAGTATCAGAAACATGCTCTTCCCTTTGCTGCTGCAGGTTGTAGAGCGACTGCGAATCTAACTGACTCAATACAGGGGCCTGGGGAACTGTTTCCAAACACTGCAAGTCCCTGACAGAGAGCTGAGGGAGGCTAGGAGCCACTCTCTGGGGGTAACCAGATCCACGGTTCTGCTGCTGTTGCCTATTGATATTAGGACGTGGCAGATTGCACATGGCACCTGACTGGTTTATGGTGACCGTATCCATTGAGAGTGCTGGGTTGGGATTTGCCCATAAATGGCTGACAGGCACATTAGGAGCTTGAGGATTCATCATTACATTCTGAGCACCGTGTTGGTAGGCCCGGTTGAATACAGGCGCTTGTTGCTGCATCGGAGGTGTGGGCTGTTGCCTCGGGTACATGTTGTTGGGGTCTGGAAAATATATGGTAAATGTCAAATGGACTCCATGTATATAGCACATTTGTAGTGTTCACCTAAAGTGCTTTGCAATGCAAGCCAGCATTCCCCCATTCATACACTGGAGACAGAGTCTACCATACAAGGTGCTAACTGCTCATCAGGAGCGATTAACATTCACACACACACACAGAGATGGCAGGAGGTAAGGGTTTTGGGTTCAGTATCTTGCCCAAGGACTTTCAACATGAATACAACAGGGGCGGTACTACCGATTAGTAGGCATGCGCTAAAGTAGCATTAGGCATTATAACAGGCAAGGGTTATTCTGATCTTTATGTAAGCCTTGCATCTTGCTAAAGATCTAACATTACTTTTTGAGAAAAATTAGTTACCTTTCCGCATGTGGCTCAAAGTACTTGTTGGCACTGCCTTTGGCCTGTTCATTGTCAAACCAGTGAAAGGACCACCTAAAGAAAGGCCAGAAACCTTTGTTAGAATGCATACATGTATAGTGACATACAAAATACATGCACATGTAGGCATACCAGATGTTTGTACAGAAAAACTTAAAACGTACCGGATAATCCTGAGATCCTCATCAAGTGCTCTATTTTGCGCTTTTTCTCATTGTAGCCGTAAGGATCTAAAGCAAACACAAAATGTTCACGTAAATCACTTGATTCAGACTGAAACCAGTTCCTTGACACTATTGTCAGGCAAAGAGGAATGGGTTTGAATACCTGAGACACACTTCATCTCTCTGGCCTTCTAGTCAGAGCGGAGCATGACACCTGACTATTCCCTGTGTTTTAGTTTTTTATATTTCTGTTGTAAATTATTGTCTTTTATTGTGATTGTAGTAATGTGTTTTTATTAAATGTACAGCACTTTGGCTTGACCAAAAATCGCTTTTAAATGTGCTATATAAATAAAACTTGATTTGATTTGATCTGAGTTGTTACTTTTAAGGGTACCGACCAAAAACATCAGTAGTACCGTTCACGATTAAACAAACAGTGTTAATATTCTAGTGGGAAATGCAAAGCTGAACAGGGCAACGCTTTCCACATGTGCTTTCTACGAGAATGATTGTGTGTCCCATTATGCCCTGTTGACGGACTTAAAAACAATATGGTTCAAATTAGGAGATTTTGACTTATTTTTTAGGACTGAAGTTAATGGTACCAGTATTGGTTCAAATGAACTGTAGCTAACCCTAGAGTGGAATGACGAGAGTTTGAGTTTAGTAACAAAAAGTTGATCCATGCTTACCTTTGTCGTCAGGCAGATATCTGAAATCCATTGCTTCACTGACTTCCTGATCGGAAGGTCGGCGCAACTGCATCTGCACGGTGACCGACTCTGATATGGAGGGGTTATAGTAGGGTGGAGTCTTGAAGACGATGGCGACTTGGCGATGAACATCTGCCTGGGAGAAGGAGCCTTTGGCCTCCCAGCCTTCGGAGCAGAAGAATCGCACCTCAATGTCATCTAGAGGAATAGTGGGATGATGGGAAAACAAGAATAGAGAATGAATGATCATGCAAATAGATGGGCATTATGGCTATAAGGATTGATTTATTGATAGTGAATGCAAATGGAGAGAAAATAGATGCAAGTTATGTGAAAAACAAACGTAATATGTACCTTTCTGTACTTTGTCACAGAGTAAGAAGATCTCATCCCCTCCCTTGACACTGCCACTGTTCCTGTTTACCCGACAGATCCTCAGCTCTGCAGTGTTTGGGGCCCCTGATGATGCAGAAACAAGTTGTAGGAATAGAATGCAATGGATGCAACAAATCCAATAAGTCAGACTGCAATCTACAAGCGAGACAACATTTGTATTTCTAAGAGTGATAATCACAATCTGCCTTTACTTAATCTAGTCTATGTCCCGTGGCTCAGCGTAACTTGTTCAGTGTTTGCCTCAGTTTAGAGACAGACCACAGTTGACTGTTGAAGCCTCAGCAGGTTGAGTCACATGTCACATGCCTGCTGTCAGAAGAGGAAGTGCTCCATGGTAACAGTGTTGTTTGAGGGTAAGTATATATAAAGACCATTCCTTTCTCAATGTGTGTGATGAAAACTGAACTTGTTTGCTGAAGTGCAACACTCAAAACACAGTAAAAGAATATATATAGGACACACATATGCAGGTTTTGCAACAAACACTACACAGCTACAGACATTATGTAGCTGTATTTAATTGTCCAACCACGGCTACTTGTGCAACTTATCAATTCTTGCAAAAAACATTATCACTTAAGTAGGTCAATAATGCAATTCTAGGCAATGGAAGGAACTGAAGTGAAAATAAGGACAAAATATTTCCAGCTATAATTAGCTTTATCAAATGAAGTCTAAGGTGAACACGCCTAAATTAAGGGAGTCGTTATTCCCGTAAGAACAATTATATGGCAATGTAAACAGGTTCTCGTAACTTGCATTTGCCAGACACGATGTCAGCATGAAAACCCTTTGACGCAGACATGGATCAGACACTCACTGTTGTCGTAGATGGGGTTTGTGACGATGGGATTGAGCTGCCGGGTGTATTGGCCGCTCTCGTCCTGTAGGGAAACCTGGATACACAGGCGGACCACGTTCAAGTCGTACTCTTCCGTCTGCAGCAGCTGCTCTCGTGGCACTGAGGTCACACACACACAAAAATGCAATGTAAGTAATATGAGAAATGTATATCTGTGACCCCCTATGAAAATACTCTTTGCCAATAAGTGAAATTATTTGACCAACATGAACAAATGAATGCAGAAGTGTCAAAGGTACATAATCCAGTTATGACACCATCATCCTTGCAAAAAAGATTGTAGTAATTAAAAAAAAAACATAGCTGTAATACATTATCATCTTTTTAAAATGACATACATAATGCTGTATAATTAAGTATAATCAAAAACGTTTTGCAGGTTTATCATACAACACATTTGAAGTATGTTTATCATGCATTAGACAAGGTTTTGCAAATAATATCATGGAGCAATAATGAGCTATTATGACTATAAGTCATTAAAAAATGCTTTATCATTTTTTTATGATTATTGTTTTGAAGCATCATAAATATTTAAATGTGCCTACAACGATAAATATACACCGGTGTATGCATATTTAAATGCATTCTTAATAGTTTTATATTGCATTCTGTAATTTGGATGCAATTTTAATGTATTAATTATAATCACAGAATGATGAAAATAAACCAAATATGCAAAATGAATCATGTGTTGAATACTTATTGACAAATGTGTCAAACCATTAAAAGCATAGATAGACAGATATGTGTTCTCATGCCTCTCACATCTGTAGGCTGTCCCCAAAACCTCAACTGTGGATAAACGCAGACACGTCACAGATAATCTTTTTATTTTCAAGCAGCCTACTCTTTTATACACACACATACAATCAAGCGTCACACATACCGCCCCATACAAACCTTGCTTTGACTGAGAGACGCCCACACACCGACACACACACCAGGCTTTCACATCCGCCTACTTTCTCTTCCACCATCTCTCAATTTCTATCTTTCGCACTCATGCCGAGGCCATACCCGCCTACAACTTGTGGCCAAGGTGACGCTCGGCGACGTCACCTCAGGGTGGAAAGAAGTGTATGTGTGTGCCTTTGTGACTCCCTGCACGAGTGACCATGGGGCTACTGCCTCCTGACGTGTGTGAAAGTGGTGGGACAAAAGTCTTAAACACATTGGTATACAACCAAGACACAGATTTAGGGAAACTCCTCATCCTTACTGAATGTGTCAATTGGTCATGCTCAGTTCTAACAGCTAATTATTTTACAGCTCTGCCTCTACATGCGCTGTTGGCATCAGCCATTATTTTTTGCAAGACTCAATTCCAAATGAAGTCACAAGGCATCAGCTCATTTACAAGTCGGTTTGATTTTAGCTAAGTCATCAAATTGTGACTTGTATCTGGAGTCCTGTGTAATTAACAAGCAGAGAACAAAAGGGCAAAACAACTGTCACTCCAAGTGTTATCAGAATGTTTAGTTAGACATGATGCAGTAAACACGTCGACACCAGTTTTGTTGGTTTGCTGTCGATATGAAGCTTCAAGATTTGTTAAAAAATTCTGAAATTTGATATCAGATTTGACCAAAACATGACAGCCTTGCTCTTAATGTTCTATGATAGATGGCATTTAACATTCACACTCTGAACTACTTTATCAACTGCAATTTTACTTTGATACAGCAGTAGAGAAATTGTTTGACATTTCGGGAAACACGCTCATTGCGTTGGGTCCGAGAATTAGATGAAAAGATCAATACCAGTTTCATAAATGTCCATTACATATTAATTAATTATAAAACATCCAGGAGGGTAGCTTATCAAAACAACTGGATACAAGGGGAAACAGATAGCCTTGCTGTATCCAAAGCATCATCAAGCGTCTACCATCACTCTAGAGCTCACTCATTCACAATTAATATTTAATTGTGTCAACCGCACAAAACACAAAGTGTACAACAAGACATAATGTGATACGTTTAAACAAATCTGTTGATACTTAAAGCTAATTTCAACTTCCCTGAATATAATAGGTTCAGTTTAACTTGCATTGTGATGGTTTACAAGCAGATGTAACTTTGCTACTTTGTGTCTCGTACATTTGACATTGAATATGTTGTTCCTCAAGGAAGCATTGTGGGTCCTATTCTTTTTTCTTTACACATGCTCTCTCTGGGTACTGCAGGTCAATATATGGATGTTATATCGATATCAACGTATGAGGGTAGATTAAGACTTATATTTTGGCTGTGAGTGTGTGTGTGTGTGTGTGTGTGTGTGTGTGTGTGTGTGTGTGTGTGTGTGTGTGCTCAGGCTGAGTTCAGGTGAGTTTCGCGGTGTCTCCCTGTCTCGCAGACCCCACTCAGACACCAGGAAACAACCCCAGCAATCCAGCACACACTGTCCGCTCCAGCAGCGAGCCCCGCAACGTCCCGCCAACATGGCACCCAGACCCCACGCAGCATTCTCATCTGTTTTTCATTGCTACTGGTGTCATTTTCTGGTTGCTAATGCCATTGTAACACATAATCACTGATGTTCCGCTGTAACGGTGGTGGACTCATCAGAACAGAGTGGGCGAGCTGACCAATCAGAGAACAGTGGGCTCATAGGGAGGGGGTGCAGGAGCTCCAACAAGCCGTTTAGGACAGAGTGGATACACATACTATACAGAGATGCTGTATGAGAAACCAATGTGATTTTGGAACATTGAACAATGTAAATCTATTGTAGTAGACCTCAACAATGGAATTATGATCAGTAGAAATGGCCATGACATGGGACCTTTAAGTGTCTTGACTCTTTACTTGACTTTGAATGCTGCAATAAAGTAAAGTGATGTCATTTTCAGAATTGACCAGACTGTTTAACTTAAACTATGTTTAACAAGCTTAACTATTATTTGCATTTACCCAGTTAGTCATTTTATGACTTAACTCATTATTATTTATCATTCTAAAAATCTTATTGTTTGAATATTTTGCATATATATCGTCACAATATTTATATTGAGGTATTTGATATCCTCTGTATCAGCAAGTACTACTTCTGGGCAAATTTTGTAGTCACCATATGTTAAAATATCACTGCCATGCTGATGATACACTAACAACAACAAAATAAACAACAGTGACACTGTGAAAATCAACCTCTGGGTGCTGAATGGTCTCCGGAACACAAATGTTGTGGGTAGCAGAGAAAGACAGACAGTGGAGAAACTGAAGGAGGGAGAAATGAAGAATTGCTTGTGTATGAAAGCGGAACTGTTGTATCAAATATTGATGGAACATAAAAAGTTGGTGTGTGTGTTTGAGATGCTGGACAGGTGGCTCAGATGTTAAAGCAGTGGTGAGTGAACCTGTGTGGTGGAAAAAGGCCCGAAGTTAGTGGGCATCCCGGCTGCACAATGCTGCAGCTGCAGAGGGACGAGGTTATCGGCTGCGATGCAGACGGGGACAGTAACGGAGGGGGTCGGTGATGGGTGGGCAGTGGGGTAAGTGGTTAAGAGTCAATGTGGGAGCAGAATATGAGAGTATGAAAGGAGGGGCGGCAGGTGCCAAATCTCACCACAAACAGTGTCTCCATTGCATGACTCACAATTTCATCAAGTTTCATGACATGCATCGCTAGTTCTTGTGTCTTACTGAGATGGAAATCTGATGTTTTGTCAGTCCAACTCAAAGATATTCAGCTTATTATGATATAAAGCAGAGAAAACAGAAAATCCTCATATTTGAGTCTGAAATATGTAAATGAAAAATGTAATAACTTCAATGATTCATTGATTATTGAACTAGTTGGCCGTGTTTTTCTGTTGAGTATAACTGGATAACTAAACTAATCGTTGCAGTTTTATTGGATACAAACATAGAAAAGGATTGAAAAAGACCAAATGGAAAATATATATATATTTTTTTCTCCTCAGGAAAATAATCTAATCTATATCCACGCCTCTAACTTGTCAATCATTTGGAAATATGTGAAACAATTTACTAGGTATATCCCCCAATGTTAAACGGGAAGACATACTAATACAGAAACATGTTACAACATCACACGCAGACATTATTCACTTCTGTGTCAACACTACTTCAGCTGAGGTGAGCTTTTGGCTAATAGACATTAACACAAACATTAATGTAGCACAAACAACATTTCACATGCATGATATGAGTTGCGGTCAGGGGGTTTGTGTGTATGTGTATGTGTGTAAGGTGTTTTTTGTTAGAGTGGGGGGAGTGCATGGGGCATATCTCCCCGTCACAGGAAGCAGCTGAGTTTCAAAGCAGAAGTGAGCTGAAGAGAAGGCAAGGTTAAAGTCATGTGAAAAAGAAATTCAGCTGCCCATAGTACAGTCTCTAGTAATCAACACATTGCATCTGTGTTTAGTTTTAGCTATGGCTACCTGAAATCTACAGTAACAACAATGTGTCATTGGCAAGGCTTTGTCTGTAGAGTAGCCTACTGTACATATCATGATACAGGGACTACTAGGCATTTCACAGTAATTACTTTACGGTAAACTACCCATCATACGATATATGAACAGGACCTCATTTTATGTTATCGGCTTATCGTACCATATATGGAGGCTAGTTTCAGCATTTTTACGTTATCAACTTATCCAACAGTAAATGGAAACAACCTCACTATTCTTTATGTTATTGACTTATTGAACGATGCAAAAACAAAACCTCAATAATCCTTTGGTAAAATATGTGGTCATGACCTCCAATATCTTAAAGAATTGGTTTATCATACCATTTAGTGACATTAGTTCCATCACTTTTATGTTATTGTCAATTTACTTATATGGACATGACGTCACTTTTTTTGTCTTGGACCTATCTTACAATATATGTACATGACTTCAGAAATCAAATGTTTTTGCTTTATTATTATAGAATTGTGTAATATATCTTTCACATTTGATTTGATTTGAGAAAATCTTTAAATTTGAGAGAGTGAAAACAACATGTTCTGCTACTTTGAAAGAAAAATATTATTTTCATCTATTAATTGATTTTTCCAAATATTTGGCAGTAACATTTTGTCCATTGACCAGTCCCTTAGTCAACCAATGAGTGAAGTTCAAATACAAACTATTTTGCAAACATGAAAAGTAATAAATCGAAGCATTAGAGTAAATTATAAATCTGTCATATATGTGTGGTTAGCGGCATATCTGGCTAAATCAAATTAATTCAGTCAACAGTTATCGCAACACGCAAACATGGAACACTAAAACTAAAGCACATTTATGTGTAACTGCTTGTAAACCCTCCATTCCCTCCATGATTTTACAGACCTGTAAAGCACCATACCCTACTTTTATCATCATCTCTGAGAGATGGGGAAGCCCCTCGGTCCACCCTCCCCCTTTAATGGATCCTGCATTCCCAGCTCTCACGTGGCATCCTGCACTGTGCTGAATTGAGCAACTGTGACTAAGAATGGGGAAGTAGCTCAACGCCTGTTTGTACACGAGAAGTGCTGCCTGTCTGCAGCGGAGCACCGCAGAATGAAAGTGCATTGAGGAAACAGCACGACTGTACACAGTGTGGTTGCAGGAGAGCGGAATTATGAGTTGATGTTAGAAAAATCATCGCCGTTGCTTGAGAATTGGGTCAATCAGCATTCGAAAGAAATTATTTTGAATTGTTTTGAACCTGTTTAACAGTAACAGCAGCAGGGAAAGCAACAGCAGCATCGACAGTGAGCAGCCACAGTCACAGTTAGTAACTAAAATGACAATCTTAGCTTTGTATAATGGCAGATATGCCATATAAATACCTTTTAGTAAAATATTTTAATCTATTTGACCTTTGTTTTGTTTTTTTCCCTTGTTGCTTGAGTTGACTCAGCAATATCTGTTACACAGTAACATAATCACTACACACCATAAGCTACTGGTCATTTTAGACAAAGTAGCAGCCAAAAACATCCACGGTATGTCAATCTAAGATGCAGAGTGGAAACAACAACAATTCTGAAAATCTTGATATGTTGCAAAAAAAATGTTATGCTTGGCTGAGGTGAAAGAGTTGGTCTATCAATAAAATAAATGAAGTGTAATGGCAACATATTTATGACGTGTGACTTCATCGTCACCTGAAGCTTCTGCATCAGATCCAACCAGTCGTCAATCACTCCACATTGTGATCTCATTTACACTTCCTATTATTATGAGAGTGATCTGAGTGACTTTTATTTAATAACTTCATCTTGTTGCGCCCTCAAATTTGGCTATAGAATTGACACCTTCTATTAGCTAGCTACGGTGCAGTGGATTGAAACAAGATTAAAAGCTCTTTCTTTCAGCAATTTTTGTTATTTTTGACGGAACATGAAAACAGACTCTTAGTTGGACAGTTTCTGCATTACCTATCTCAAACTTGGATGAATTGCTATTGCTTTTTGTACATGTGCATTATCATTGACGGCCTGTTAGCATGCTGACGTTAGCAATAAGCTTGAAGCTATGCTAGCACAACCTTAAAGTGGACCTATCATGCAAAATGCACTTTTGTACGTCTTTTATACATGAATATGTGTCCCCCGGTGTTCCAGGGAACGCACAAAGTGTCAGAAAATACAGCCCTCTCTCTTTTCCTCCGGACCCAAATCTTTTATAAACGGGGCTACAACAAGCGGATACAGATTCCATTCGACCCGGCGTCAGCCCGGAACAGTGCGCGGTGACGCTCCGCCCATCAGGGGAATGAGAGGATGCCGTGGCATGGTAACAGCATGGTAACATGATGCTCGTGCCCCGCCCCCCTCCTTTGCAGGGGGGCGTGGTCAGCTGCAGCTCATTTGCCACAGAATCAGCCCTTGCAAAAACAGTGCTGGAATACAGCCAATAGAGCGAAATGAGGCATGGCTAAAATGCATGATCTGTTTGGTATTTTGAAAAGAAACTTCACAGATATGTTTTATATAGGTATGGCCCAACAATATATTATTCAAATATAGCATGATAGGTCCACTTTAAAGAGCAGCTAGCATGGCTGTAGACTCAGTCAGGTTCTAATGCACACAAGTGGGTTGAAACTACTGCTCTCAGTCAGTGTGATGATGTAAGACAAAAACAGAAGCAGAGGATGTGACATTGGAAGAAGGACTCACCAGTGAAGGGGTTGATCCCTCTGGTCATCCTCTGTACGATCGCATCTTTCACTTCCCTCCTTCTCACACACTGGATACCCAGATTCTGGAAGCTGTGGGGATAATAAAGCAACAGGTCTGTGACAAACTGGCAGACTCTTACTATGCTGCAACTTAGAATAAAAACAACAAACACATGGGGCCAAACCTGAGTGGAATGACATCAACAAATATAATGTTGCATAACTCTGGAGGAAAGGTAATAGCAATCTTGCAATTACTCCAACCTGTCTGACTCTACTTTTAAAAGACTTCAACTATTTATTGAATTTTCTTTTATTACTTAACTAATGTGGGAATATTTGTAAAAATTACATTTGTATTGCTCTTTGGGAGAGTGTACTTGCATACGTGTGCTATTATGTTACAATAACATCTGAACATTTTGTTTATTGCAATTATTTCTTGGACCATATGCCGCCCAATAAAAGTGGTTATTGTGACAGGCATGATTTATCTACATAGGAGTTGAAAGTTGAAAGTAATCTAAATTTACTACACACATCAAAGGAGGATTTGCAAATTATACACACCAAAATAAACTGACTCATTCAAACACACAACCTCTATTTTCTCTCTGACACACAGCAAATATGGGTGATGTCACTTGGGGAATTCCCATATTACCATCCTCATCACAGACATGGTTTGACAAAAATGCTCTGTGTGTGATTACCAGCGCTCTCCCTCTGTATCTGCGAGGTCACCAATCAACACTCAATGTCTTCTGAAACCACCAAGTAAAAAATGAAGTTCTACTAATAGAGAGCACATTGATTATGTTGTGGTGTGTGTTTGTTTGTTTACTTATATTGATGATTAAGACTGAGACAATGTGGCTATAATTGTTGTGATGACGTCAGTGACAGTGAGGTCATTGAATACTCATAGAGAGTGCTGATGGAGGTTACTGTGGGAGGAGGACTTACGCGATCACTTTGCGGTCTGGACCAAACTCGGCCTCGTAGAACCCTTCTTTGCAGTCCTTGCCCACCAGGTCGTGTGGATGCGGTCGGTACGGCTCGTTCTTCGTTACCAAGTAAACGCGTACTTTCCCTTTACCGCAGTAATTCAGGATCTGCGGAGGAATCAAATAATTAATAGTAAATCGTATAGAAAGATGCATGCAGAGGTGTAAAGAAGAGAGAAGGAGGAATATACCAGATGCTTTGAGGGCTTTGGGTGTTTTTCTGTAAAACCAATAAAGCCATGCTCTATATGTGTTTTTACAACTCACCATTGGTCATTGGCCCTATGCCTTAAAATATGACACTAAATTTACCCCACTGGCGTTAGTTTGGAACATGAACTGCTGCCTCTAGTGGTCGTAGTAATTATAAAGGGTGTAAAGAGAACTGGATTCAGCGTTGTTCATTAGTGTGAAAATTGCTGAATGGCCCATGAAGCCAAAATGGCCTGATCTATGGTGATCTTCCGCACCCATAGAGTATGAGCAATTGCGTGTTCACCGCCTCCCATCCGCTGCATCATAGAAGCATGATGGAGGGTCTCAGGTCAGTCAAATGAATAGAGGAAGGATAATATCTCTGGATTCGGCTATAAGGGCATTTTAAAATGTACGAACTTAATGATTGAAATATGGTCTATTCAAGTCTTCAGAAACTAAATAAATATATATATAAAAATAAGAGGAAATGAACAAAGGAACTGCTGTTCGTGCCCCGGTGGGAAACCACAACTCAACATTTACTTTTTTAGCTTAACTATGTAACGTAGCCTTCCAAACTTTCAAATGTGATTTAAGTAACGGGGGAAACAAGTACTTATTTGAACACAAACCCTAATATTTTTGCTAAACCTAACCAAGTATAAACAATACGTACTTAAGTTTGGAACCTCTAACGTGACAAACTGAACTCATGTAACATTAACCACTTGTTGCCCTATATGTTGAAACATGCTGGAAATGCGTTGGAAATCGACATCAAAGGCTTTCGACGTGAATCTGTATATGATTGTTCGGGAGTGAACTCTTCTTGGTTTTATGCAAAATAAACATGTAAATCTCTCGATTGAGGAAATTAAAGTTGTACCGACTGACCTGCAGACTGGGGTAGGTCCTGTTGTTGTCAGAGCTCTTCTCTCCGGGGATGCTTCCCGCTGAGCGACCCTCACACTTGTACCTGAAGCGCATTCCCCTCTGCTTCGGCTGCTCGAAGATCTGGACAGAAGGCTCGGCCACTAGAGAGAACGCGTGATTTAAACAGTTAATAAAGGGATGAAGATACTTCCCCCAATTGTTTGAATATACATGGCTGCTAAAGAGTGTTGACACAAGTTACAGGATCAATACATAAAGTACACTTGGTTATTGACTATGTTTCTAATAAGTAATAATCCAGGGGGCATTGACTTTGCAGGTCAAAAGTAATCTAGATTTTAAGACTTTGACAAATTGACTTTAAAATGTCCTCGAGGAAAAAGGCCTATAAATCAGAGAGAGAAACAAAAATGCCCATCATAATTTTACAAAGCCATGTGTTTTAGTGTTGATGTTTATTATTTTGGAGAAAGGTTTGTGAAAAAGAGATTTAAAACCCAAATTGTCTGCTGAAATATACATCTTGACTTAAAGGAGAATTTGTTTCAGAAAGGTGTGACCAAGATGAAATTACCAATAAAATGTATAGGCTTCTTTTAAACTGAAAATCATTGTGCTTGCTAAAAAAAAAAAAATCAGCATTCAAAACATTGCATGAAAAAAACTGTCTGTACTAACTTGACCTATTGCATGATACGCAGCCTGCCACACTTGATGCCCGAGAGAGAGAGAGAGAGAGGAACTAAAACTGATCAGGGAAGTGTCTCTTATTTTGGTTTGCAGTGTTTCCAATAACTTTACAACACAACAATTTTTTTTTGTGGACATTACAGCTGAGTGAGAAGCAACCCAAGCAAAGTGGTGTACACACACACACACACACACACACACACACACACACACACACACACACACACACACACACACACACACACAAAACTAGTCCAGTTACATTTCTGACTTGATTAAGAAATCTACGTTTGCCAAATGTTGGCTCAGCCATGTCCTGCCTTCCTCATTTTGAGAGAAGATGTAGCTCACACGCGGACATTTATATCACACTATATAAACTCAGAGACCACAACCCATATACAAAAGGATTTAAAAAACCTCTTTTTCTCAGACACTCCTAGCACAGGTCTGAAAAAAAGCAACGCTTACCAATAAAGCTAAATGAGGAAGTGAAAGACACTGCATTGCATTTACAGCTCATTTTGACAAAAGAGGTTTTAAAAGTCTACTTACTTAGATGTGAATCGTCCCCTAGCATCATAAGAACTGAGGAGGTAAATGTGACAAATAAGAAATAATCAGGCAAATGTTGATGCAAATGAGATACAAAATCATACTAAAAAGTTGTCATAACATAAAATAAATGAAAATAACAATATTTTACTTAAGGGGGTTTGTGTAGTTCTGCTAAAGCTATCATGTAATTATTCCAATCACACTGTAAATCATTGCAACAAGGAGGAAGTTTCACTGTGCTGTTAAACAGATTTATAACAGTGGCAACAAGTGTTTAAATTAAGAATTAAATACTTGGGCTATAATCTCACATTTGTCTTAATATAGCTAGGAAATAAAACTTACACTTATAGATGTTCTTGAACGTCAAAGTCATGATAATTATTGGTCAATATTACATTTAGTCTAAACCTCTTATTCTACGAGTTACTATTATTATTCTACAGTAAATAAAAGAGTTGCCGCTCACCATCCATAATGCAGGAACACTGTGTCGTATCAAACGTTACTGTCTCTTGGAGAAGCCCGAGCTGAATGAGTGACAGTGGACAGGAAAGTGATATTTGTTAGAAAAGAGGCTACGCGGGGAATTCCCCTCCGTCACCGCCCCCTTCATCTGAACTGACCAATTAGAGGCCGCGCGAGTCGGAGCAGAGAGCAGAACGTGCGCAGTGAGGTCACTCCTCTCCACGCTGCCTATCTGAGCCCAGAGACTGTTGATAGCTGAGACTCAGAGGTGGGAGAAGTACACGGTTCTTGTACTTGAGTAAAAGTAGAAGTACCAGAGTGTAAGAATACTCTGTTACAAGTAAAAGTACTGCAATCTAAACGTTACTCAAGTAAAGTACAAAAGTATGACCATCAAAAATATACTTAAAGTACCAAAAGTAAAAGTACTCATCATTGGTCCAATTCAGAAATATATATATTTTATGTTTTGATAATAATAATTGATCATTAAAGTGTTATCAAAGCTGGTAAAGGTGCAGCTAGTTTAAATTACTTTGTATACTGCAGGGTAGCTTGTGAATTTACTCCAGTCTTATTTAAGTGTTGATTATAATTCACATTATTAACTCAAGTTTGAAAAGCAACTAAAGGTATTAAATAAATGTAGTGGAGTAAAAGTACATGATTTACCTCTGAATTGTAGTGGGGTAGAAGAAGCACAAAGTAGCATAACATTGAAATACTCAAGTAAAGTAAAAGTATCTCCAAATTGTACTTAATCAAAGTACTTATGTAAACCCACCTCTGAGATTCAGTGATAATAGACAAAATGGAGGAAAGGCCCCTGACAGCATCTCTGAATTGTGTAAAAGTCATGAAAAGAATAAAGCAAATGAAAAAATATAGCAATTAAATGAAATAGCATCAGAATCAGAATACCCTTATTCGTCCCGAAAAGGGGAAATGTACATTGTTACAGCAAAAGTGAAGATGAAGTGAAAACACTTAGATAATACTAGTAGTACTGCAGACTTGTCACCACATGCATCAGAAAACACCATACTCACTGTGCAACCTCGTGCATGGCTGGATGCCTGATAGTAGCAGACACCTCATTAATATGACTAGCATTACATTCACATAGGTAACCATACTGTTCTCATGAAAGAAAATAGAAGACCTTTGAAAAACCTGAGTTGATGAATAGTGCAACAGGCTATGGGTTTGTTGTCATATATTGTTGACTAACAGCGTACAGTTTTCCCATAAGGGCCCACCAGTAGTGCACTGCATAATATTAGCTCCACTGGATTAAAGAGCATTTAATGTTTTCTCCACTGGATGGGCACTTGATCTTTCTTTCTCCAACTGAAGGGCACCTTGGAGTGTGTTGGATGGCATTTAAAGACACAAAGCCTTTTAGACAGAGCCATGCAGATGAGTTGTATCAATCTCAATTTTCCCAAACTATATAATCAGACAATTGTGTATTTTTCTTAAAAGATAGTTTGTTAAAATGTTCTTGTGTTGTAGAAAAGCAGCCAAAAAGGATAATGGAATTCATATCCCTGGAAATGCTTTGGGAAATGGGTAATTAACAACTATATATTTTCTTGACCTTTGAAACTGTTATTGACAAAACGCTATTCAATAGTCTAAGTCTTTTTAGTTTAATCTTCAGCTCTGTTGTATCAGACACACCTCCTTTGCTTAGAATGACCCCAGTAACTAAATCAGCTTTTGACAAAACAATCTTAACACAGACCGTTTAGTAGATTTAACTTATTTTTATTGTTTTATACATGTAATACATAAAATGTATTGCACTCCAAAAATATCATGGACTTTTTCGGGTGATATAAAAAAAAATACACTTATTTTTTTAAATCTTCCAATGCTAGATGAATACAGCACAGATGCCCTATCTCGCAATATTGAGAATTAAACAATGCGTGTCCGCCCCGTGATTCGGATCAGCTCCATTAAGAAATGGGTTCTTCCCAGAGACTGTATATAATATATAAATGTTCTTCCTAGGTGCCATGCTACACCCTTCCACTATCAACATTGGGCCAGTAGTTTTGTTTTTTTAAACCTGATGACAAACAAAAAAAGACAAACCAAGCTGTAAACATATCAGTGTTTCCCCTACCATTGTCTTGGCGGGGCGCTGCGCCCTGCCAACGGAGCCCCGCCTGAAATTCAAGGTGTTTTTTTTAATTATTATTTATTTATTAAACTAAAAAAAAAAAAAATAAATATATATATATATATATATATATATAGCACCAAATTGCAACTGAAGTAATCTATTTACGGTCACTTTTCACATTGAACATGTGCTCTTTTATTAAATAAACTAAACGCCAATGTTATTTATCCAATGTGCATGTTTCAGTGTCCACTGCTTTGCGTATTCACATTCTCCCTCCGCTCTGTTTATGTTTCTGAAGGGCGCCCCCCCACACACACACACGCGCAATGCACACACTCACAATCAGAGACAAGAGCGGAGGAAAGGAGGAAACAACAGCTCTGGTGTCTGCCCGTTTTGTGTGTGTCCCCAGTTTCAAATTCGTTTATATTATTTTTTTAACCCGCAAGCCGTTATCGTCACGGGAGAGGACAAACACTCAGCCTGCCCAGGTCGACGCGCGCGAACGCGACAACGAACGTAGTGCGCATTCTAAAAATAGCTCAACAGATGGTGAGCAGGTACCGCGGCTTTGACTACAGTATTGAATTTGACAGAAAACAACAATCAAACGCCAGCAGGAAGAATAGTCTAATGAGTTGGGTGAAAAAAAGATAGGAGATGTGAGTTGGTTTATTCAGTAAATAGTATTATCGCCGTCAGGAATCGTATATGTTATGGAACTGTCGCTCTGTCACTTGTTGATTGTGGAGGCTAATATGCAGGACCTTTGCTAGTTGTCCCAAGTATCTTGATGCTACCGGCATTTAGCAGGCTCAAGTGACTCAGCAAAGTTGACAAGAGGCCGCTTAAAATGTATCGTGCAGCAATGTATGACAGCTGTAGAAACGATGGTGGCCATTGTTTAATGTTAGACTCACACCAATAAGCTCAATATGATCATAACACGATTGCTTTCTAATCTCAGAGATCGACTGTCATGATGCGGTAGGTGGAGCGCTGTCTTCAGCAATAAAAGGATGAGGGCAAGAGAGAGCAGCAGGTCGCACCTAGCAGGGTATGGCAGCAGGTTATGTTATATGTGTGTGATCAGGTGATTTAAATGTATCAATGAAAGAAGAAGTGTAGGAAGGGCAACTTGTATGGGTATTCTACTGTAGAATAATGATATAAGAGGGTAACATACAGTACGAGTTATTGGAGAAATTAAAGTAGAGGATATATGTCTAGTGTAGTAACACTGTACTATATTAATTGTAACTATATATTGGTTTAACCAATGTTACAATACCTAATTGGTTACTGTTCAACTGAATACTTTGACGTATCTAAACAATAAGTCAACTTCGATCTATAAGGCGAATTGTACGTTTTATTTTCCTGGCTATATTAAGACAAATGTTGAGATTATAGCCCAAGTATTTTAATTCTTGAATTTAAACACTTGTTGGCCGAAACTGTGTATAAAATCTGTTTTAAGCAGCACAGAGTACAAAGCAACACAGACCGGACATTGTTTTTAGGGAATACTC